CTACTACTACTACTACTCCTGCTGCTGCTAGCTGCCAAAGTAAAAGACGTCCTTTACGGAGTAAAGTCGGGCTTTCCACCATTTCCACGAAAAGTTTTTGGAGGTCGAATTTTGCTATCAGTTTTGCAGACAATAGAGCCCAGTAAAACGAGGCCTTTGATTCGGAGGGATAGTTTACTACTAAATATAACTATTCAGTATTGCTTACTTTCGTTTTGGATAGTATCCAAGATCTTCTGGCACAACCATCCATCATTCTCATCCTTCTGATTCTCGTCCTGCTTCTTCTTCTCATCCTTCCCTGTTAAAACAAAAAGCTCAAATAAGCTCAATAACAATATTGTCATTTTGCCTTAATAAAGCTCTATCAAATCTTACAGCTTTCAAGCTCACAAAGGGTACCCCTCACACTGGCCCTACCTCCCTCCAACAGCAGGGGACCCTCCCCCTTTTAATCAAGCCCACCCTCTGGCCTCGATCTTGTCTTCTATCTCTCTCATCCTGCAATCCTCCTTCTTTTCCTAATCACCCCAATCAACGAAAGAATCTTGTCCCCCAATCTCTTTCACCTCTTTCCTCTTTCCTAATCTTGTCATCATCTCATCATCCATCATCAGGTCATCACCGTTATTAAGGGGAGGTGGTCTCCAACACCTCCAACACAAACCTTGTTCACCCTGTTGACCTTGAAGGGGGGAGGTTGATCACTCCTACGTTGACATTACTCTAAACCTAAACATTGGTTGTTTGCAGTGGCAGGAGAGTCCTTGAGCGAGCTGCAGTTGGACGCTGCAGCGCTGGCCGGCATTGCACTCCGCGGCGCATGACTCTTGGAGGGGCCAGAACGGCTCCTCTGAACGCACCTGAGCGGTCTTGGCGTACGCCGGCCTTGGCGTACGCCTCTGCCAACCTGCCAGATGAAAAAACACGTGTAAAAAGATACTGCTTTACTCCCACGCCGAACGCGTCCGCTCTCGAAGGGCCAGACTTGCTGCGACAAGCCATGCGTTTCTTGTTGTGCAAGAACCTGCGACAAGTTTCTTTTTTCGGGCAGAATGTCAAGAGGGCTTTTGCTGCGCTGCCGGAGCGTCGCGTTGCCGCCGCGCCAACGGGTGCACCTGCTCTGGGTGCACTTGCCCTCGGCTCTGGTTCACCCGCAGGCGCTGAGCATGGGTCGCGCGGAGGCGGGCCAGCCGGACGTCTCAGAGCGAATATGCTCGAGAGGTGCCAACCCGGGCTCATCCTCGTAGAGGGCATCCAATTGACCCACCCCGAGCCGCTCGTTGACCCGGGCCAAAACTTGGAAAGCCTCAGATTGGCTGTTGCATTTGAGCCCTTCTTTGATTGACTATTGCTTCGGAGGTTCTTTGCAACCTTTGCTATCTTGCAAAGATTTTGGTGTTCGACGCTTTGCTTATCAGTCGGGATGCGTCCTTCGCGGTCAGTGCGGGCCAGGTCCTTGATCATCAACTCGACTTCCGCGCGGCCTGGGAGTGTCTGTTGTTTTGGCTTCGAAGCCAATCTTTTTCGCCGGGCGCCCCAGCTGAAACGTCGAGGGACGACTTCGCGGACCTCTTGGCCCTGCTGCGACCCACATTTTCGTGCTTTGTAAGTTGCACACGTTTGCGGCCGTCTCGAGAGAGCTTGCCAAAGCAACCTGGAGCTTGAACTCCCGAGGGAGGCAGAAAATAGGCTCAGAGAAGATGCTTGCTTCCTAGAGGGAACTCAGTCAGAGTTTGCACCTTGCTTTCCCGAGAGGCGCCGGAGGAGCGGGGTTAGCACCACCCTGGCGTCCTGAGACAATAAGTCTAGAACGTTGCTAGTATTTCTATTTCCCTTTCTGGGTGGTGTCATTGCCATCGTGTCCTTTGTTTGTTCAATTTGTTTTCTATGTTTTCCCTATGTTGTTTCCTATTTTGGATGCTATGTATTCTCTAACTGTCCTAATATGTTTCTATTTTGATCACACCCAGTGGAAGCTTAGCTTCTTCAACATATATATATATATGTTTAATGATTCTTGACCTTGTTGACCTGCCATGTGGAGGGAATTAATCTGGTCTTGACATTCAAAAACCAGATCGTTTATGTGGAAAAAGGTTTTTAGGGTGTATGGGATTAGTCGTGGATTTTTGTTGCGCTGGAATAGGGTTGGTCAGTCAACACTCTTGTTTGTACACCCCTTCTGGACCAATCATCATCTGTTTCCATTCGACAAACACGGCCACGGAAGAGTACTTATTCTGCGAGTTAGATATGTTTCATCCTGTGCTACGGATCTCAGTCCGTTCATCTTGGGACAGATCTGCCAGGATCTCCAGGAGTGCTTCGCACTCAGGCCCCATCTCAGTCCAGAATATCCGGGCGAGACGAGCGACAGGATCTCGGCCGAGGATCGTCCCGTTGGACCTGGAGCAGTTGGATCGTCCCGTTGGACGGCCTCTTCTTGACATTCCACCAGGGTGAACCAACCATCCCCCTCTACGTAATAAAACGACGGGAGCGAGAGCTCGCTCACTCGAGTCAAGGCACGGCCCCAGGGCCAGTTGGGTACCCAACGGTGGTACCAGGCCTCTCCAGGCAGTTCATAGCGCTGCCTGAGACGCGAGTACCCGTGAGGTCCCAAGAGTTAAGGGAGACGGAAGAAGGGCAAAAAGGAGCGAGCCTGGACTGAATGATTGAACATCTGTGACATGTGATGAAGGATCAACACATACAGTAGATTCAGTAGATGCTTTAGATGACCACCACTGATGAACATACTGCAGAACAGGTCTATGAGCCGTGTCACACATGGGTGTCTTGTCTTCGCCTCACCGATCGATGAGCCGGGCCCAGGGAGTCCAACGGTTTGGCCAGTGACACAACCATTCTCATCGTTCCAGACACAAATATGTATATATATATATACACCTATAGTATATATATATATATGATCATATATGATCATATATGGATATGATATGATGATGGTTGGTTTTTTAAATATGATGTGCTTATAGGAAAAACACAGAAACACACATGTTATGTGTGTTTGCAAAAAAAATAAGAAACCTCGCAGGTGGTTGGACGCGACAGGATTTTTTAGCCTTGCTGGGCCATGGCTTTTTCAAGATTTCTCTCAACTCGCCAGGTGGGGACAAGAGGTGATTCCTGAAAACATATTGGATTCTCAGTGAACAGGCCCCGGAACACTATATCTAGTAAGTTCTAGTCAGGTCAGGTACTAGTGAACCGGGACAGTACTAGTCAGGGCCCCGGGACCCTACTAGTATAGTAAGTACTATATTGTCAGGTCAGGTACTAGGAGGTTCCATGGAAAGGCGGCAAAAAATGATCTTGACCCTCAAAGGTCAGCGATGTTTTCGCCGGAAGGAGACTCTTGAAAAAGCTCCCTGTTTTCCATACATCACACATCACCCTTGACCCAGGGCTAACCCACTTTACTGGAGGTCGAATCAAGAATAAACCCCTCCAAGTATCACTCGCTGGATGCCTATTGTGCCTCAATGAGTCAATGACTTTGCGAAATTTGTATATTCGGTGACTGACTGCCCTCTTCTCCCTAAGGGGCACCTTTCCAAACCGCTCCCACCTCCACACTCCCCCGGCCTTTCGCGAATCTCCCAATCCAGCTCCTCCCCATCCACCCGGGATGAGCTCGCCCGCCGCTTGGCCGCGCGCTTGGGCGCTCGCTTGGGCGCCCGTGCACGTGCCGCTGGACGGCGCTTCGGGGGCATGGCGACGTCGGAGTTGTTGCAGCGGAGGGTGGAGCTGTTTGGGGTTGGCTGGTGGACCGACTTCGATTGGAAGGACAAAGCCCTGCCCGGAAATCGAATCGCAAAGGTCTTCAGATGTTGACCGAACCTCGTTGATGCTTTAAGGCTTGCAGCTGAGGCACAGTCAGACCGTTCGAAAGTTCGGGATGGAGGCTGCGTCTCAATGAGGCCACAGGTGCTTCGGATGACAAGCCGCATGGAACGAGGAAGCAGCGCTGAAGGGAGCCTTTTTTCGATCCCAATCGTCTAACGTGCATTTTTGCGCTGAAGGGACGCTTGTTTCGACCGTGCCCTGGAACCTGCGTTGACGCTTGTTACCGCTGAATTGACCGTGCCGTGGTTGTGATGAGTGCACAGCTGGTCTTCCCCTGGTCATTGATGTCTTGTAGGGGCTTCGTAATGGTTTGGAATGGCATTCCTGGATCTTGATCAACAACATCCACGGACAATACAGATCATAAGGTTACTCGAAGTTCCCATCAAATGCAACGTAAGCCAGGTCTGGATAGGTCCTGGACTGGAGAGAGATGAAAAAAGAAATGAAAGACGGAGAAAGAAAATGATGGGCCTTCGGATCGTGGGTATCCTTGCTTGGGTAACCACTTCAGCTGAAGAACCACCAGGCTCGCTAGATGAAGTTGACCCCTTTTTTTTGGGTAGACCAAAATCATCGGCAAATCAGTAAGCAGGCCATTTAAAAGAAAAAAATCAAACCAGGAGTTTGGCGGCTTTGGAGGTGCTCGTGGGATTCTGGATGAAGCAATTTGCTTTAAATCATTTTAAATCCATGTCACCTTCGTCTTGGTCAAGACGCCTTGAGCCAGGCGCCTTGCGGAAACGTTCACGTGGACCGCACAGCGCGCCACCAGCGCGCCAGCACCGGCACCAACCAGCAACGAAGGCGAAGACTGGGGTGGTGAATGGCCCTCAACGCGTGAAACGGAACGGCAAGATCGGCAAGTAGCCACTTCGGTTCATCTGATGATCATCTACACCGTTGATCCATAGAACATAATAGAACTCCCCCCCTTCTCCAGACTTGTTTTACCATCTCCAAGCTCCAGGTTGTTTTGGTTCTTCTTCTAAATACTCCATATTCATCAGTCAGTATTCTTACGTAGATCTAAAGACATTCAGCATTCTTAGATCGACCTCAGATCAGCCCGTGGGGGCCGGGTTCGCCCCCCCGGTCGCCCCATCAAGCCAGCCAGGGCCACGCGCCGGTAGCCCAGGCATGCCCGACTGGCGCCGCCCTGGCGGACGCGGTCGTTCGAACGGGCCCCGACTCGTCTGGAGTTGAAGCAATCCCTAGGTGTTGAGGGAGGGAGTCGAGGGACCTGGGCAGGTGGGCTTCTTCTCTTCCAACACTGAAGATCGTCAGATCTGAACCCCCAACTGGTTGGTCAGACCTTTTGGGGTCGAAACATGAAGACCTGTGCCTGTTGGACGCTCGGATGAGAAACACCATATATGTTGTTGGGGGGGAACCGGAGTGTCGGGGAAAGTCCGGAGATTTCACGTGCCGAACTGCCAGCGTCGGAAGGACGACGATGCATTGAGCAGCCTTGAGGATTCTTCAAGACCCGTAGCGGTTGTGTAAATCTATAGATTAGCCTAGCCTAGATATACTAAATGTGGCCCAAAGTGGTTCTTCACTGTTCTTCATCAGAGTGGATCAACTGCTGGAATTGGACTTGCCAAGTATAGCCAAACCATGTACATCAGGATGGACGATACTTCTAGACTATACAGCCTTATAAGGATCCCGATGGCAAAAGGTTGGAGAATTCGATCCTATACCAAATGCAGCTGGCCTGTCGTCATCGGCTTTCGTCCTGGCTGAAGTCGTGTCACTCGTCACTTGGAAATCGCGGTCGTCAGATTGCCCGACCGGCAACCGAACACGAAAATCACCAGAAAAACATCCTTAAATGACTTTACACTGCTTGATTGATTGACTTTACAGTGGTTTCAGAGTAGATGGGGAAAGTAACAAGTTGCGGCACAAAGACTACTGACATTGACAGGGGTATAAAAACATCATCTAGCGCATAGTCTTGGGATCCCGGTGATGTTGGGATGCTACGTGTGCTACGTGTCGAGATGCTACGTGGGAATCCCGGTGGGTCGCCACGGCCGAAACGCGGGATCCCGCGGGACCGAGGGCCGCCTACATCCATCCACGCAACCACTTGGGTGCCTGAGGGATCACCGGTCGTCTCGCGAAGAAGCGAAGACGGGGTGGCACTGTGGGGCGGTCACTGTGTCACTTGGGGTCTATAGAGAACTGTAGATCAGGTGTCTGGTAGGCAGTCTGGAACTTGATCTTCAAACTTCAGGCACGCCCGGTCTTCAAATCGCAACCTCAAAAACCGTACTATGAAGCAGAGAGGTCGGCGACTGACCCACACCGACCCCTGGCGAATGACTTAGAAGGGTTAGCGAGGTAAAGAAAAACACAGAGCGACACCTGATACATTGGACATGTTGGTCGTTATGTATAGGTCAGGCCTTTCAATCACACCACCACCTTACAAGGAGTATCAAGGAGTGTCTGGCTAATGGGGACTATGCCAGGGTCTCTTCCTGGTTCTCTTCCTTCCCCAGCACCCCACCCCCAGGTGCCCAAGCCAGTCTGGCCCGTGGACGACTCACCACTGGCGGGACCTCATCAGGTGAGGACGTTGCCTTTGAGGACTGCCTGTGACATCTACGCCCCTCAAGAGACACGCGTGGAACCTGACAACACTGGGTTGGAGAGGAAAAGAGTCTTCCAAAGGTCAATGTTCATGTTCCATGTTAATCTTCCCGGCTGTAAGTTTGTTGGAAGGGACCATATACAATATAATATATATATATACTGTATATATATATATATACTGTATATCGATTGAAGAGACTAGAGTTTGAACTTTTTGGTGGCAATGCCTAGAGCATGCAGCTTCCAAATCGAAGCAATTCACCAACTCCCTGACCGTGTCAACTCGGTCGCTTTCATTGGCTGTTTCGTTCAACCGGGACCGGTGGCCCCATGATCCATGATCGCATCTCACCAGCCACAAGCGAAACAGTCTATGTACCCTGGAAACCCCAGTCTACCCAGCGGTTCCCAGTTCCAACTATACAAGGAACCCTGGATAACCCTGGGGCCCTTGGCCAGTCTATGGTTGATTCGTTGAACTGGAACACTCACTAACTGCAACTGGATCCGGGTTAGATCACTTCATTTCGATCCTTCTGGAAGGCCGCTGGCAGGTCTTGAGATTTGAAATCCACTGACCTGCGCCTTTCTGGGGCACCCGCTGGCTGCGAGCGATGTGGGAGGCATCGAGGTGGGGCCTTGGGAAGGGTTGGGTGGCATGGTCGTTGAGTCAAAAACCAAGAGAAAAAGTCCCTTTACGGTACCTTGGCCTGTGATTTTTGCACGTGTTTCAACATAGGTGATATAAAATGAACATACAAGCCATGGTTTTAAATGAAGTGACATACCGACCATTTTACGAAGTAGGCTAAGTGACGTGCATCACAGAAAAGCCAGTCCCAAGCTAGGTAGCAAAGGCCAAACACATGAGACTCTTTTTTAATGACACAACCAAACCTGGAAGAACTAAGATCATGGGAACATCTGCTCAAATCCAGGCCTTCATGCAATGACACTGCCAAACTCCGAAGAATCGATTTTCCGTGACTTTCCTCGGCAATCTGTGACATGTTTATAACATGGCATGTCCTGCTTCACGATGAGAGCTGATTGCGCTCACATCCTTCATCTACCTGCACCACTGCATCCCATGGTATAGTTCACACGTGTCCAGGTAAAAGGCTTGGTTTTGTCTGTGTGAAGTGACCCAAAAGGTAACCCTTTGTGCAATAGAATTGAATCCCCAAGTCATAAAGGTTTACTCAAGGAGGATGAAAAAGAAGGCATAGGTGGATGCTCACAGTGATACATTCAATTCACTTTAGAAGAAGAAGAAGAACAAGAATAATCCACTCAAAGCTACACATTCTGTGCTTGAGAAACATGATTAAAAAGGAATTCTTCTTTGGGATATCACATTCACATGGTATCAAAATCTTCCATGATCCATAAAGCTGCCCAAAGCCTTTGGTTCCCCCCTAAAAAGGCAAGGCGTGCGGCTGGGACAAGGTCTGGACATCTGTTGGTACTTCCCAAATGTGATTCTCCAAACAGATCCAGAAGCTCTGAGGTGCAAAGTGCAAAGGAAACCAAGGATCACAAAAGAAAAAAAATGGCTGTGAACATCCATAGGAAACCGCAGTTCTTTCGGTCTGTTGGTGCCGGACTTTTAGGGGCCAAACACCATTCCGACATGGAACTGCTGAAGCCGTCCATTCCAGCTCTTGGAGGTCTGATCTTTTGGTCTTCTCAGCGAAACCAAGATCCCTTGACCCCTGAAGCATCTGAAGAATCTCCAAGCTACTGCAGGGCTACCAAAATCCGTCCCAACATCTTCCCTGGCCCAAAGTCACTGAAACGAATCTACAGTCACTCTGAAACTGGCATCCTTCAGCAGCTTCTGGTCTTTAGTCGGATCGAACAATGTTCGAAACGTCGCTCCAGCTGTAGGGTTCAGCAGTTCTGCGACTGTGAACGGTGTCCCCAAATGGAAGCGGCAGATCTGCCATCCACTGACTGAGGTGCCGGGCTGCTGCTTGGTACAGAGCTTGGAGGCGGAGGCATGGCAGCACCTGCAACTGCACAGCCTCCTGCAGGGCCTGCTGCGCAAGGGCCTGAGCCGGGCCGAGTCATTGTGGACTCAACGATTGCAAAGCACAATAGAAAGTGATTTGCCCAACAGGAAAGAAAAAGAAACTCTGGGGGAAAAGAGACTGTTTGGAAACCTCTGTTTCTAACTATTCCTCTCTCCTTTTCTTGCTGGCGTACTTTCGGCACCGGTGTGGGTCCGCCTCTGTGGGGTCGATGGGTCGACGTGTGGTGATCGACCAAGGCTGGTTACTCCAAGCACCGCACATTGACCCGTGTTCACCGTAAAATCCAAGGTTTACTCCCGCGGGGTCAAGCACCAAACACAACATTGACCGGACCTGGACAAGGAGCACCGCGCTTGAAAGCAGTCCCCCCTGACTCTATTCTGGGCACCCCCGGCCACTCGCCCCACCATAGCCATACATGCCACTCGTGCCCCCACCGCCGCCATATGCGTGATGCTCCACCACCGAGGTCGCGGTCACGGTGACTTGGCCTGAGGATGCCGGTCGCGAATCAGATGCTCGTCGTGTTGTGCCCATTGGGACACCGGTCATAGACGAAACACGGGAATCTCATCACATCTCTACAGCTTGCAGCTTGCAGCTAGCTATATACGAGCCGTACGAGCCTACAAGTTGTATGATGTTCATTTGAGGTTGGAGGCCATCCATGTGACGTCTGGGCTCACAGGATCGAACACGAACACACCACCGGTTTTGGACCCGGCTTCTGGGTGCACTGCTCATGGCTGGAGGTGTCGGCATGGAGCCTCACCGGCCGCACCCACGGCAGAGATGACCCAGTCCAGAGGTACCAGAGCCCCTGCTTTCGGGGTTTTTATTGGTAGCCCCTTCAGAGGTTCAGGGGAGTCCATGTACACCCCTTAGAGGGGTGTACATGGAGTTTCAAACCAACTCATTCATGTTCTCGCCTCGCCACCAACCTGACCTTAACCCTCACCCTCCTGGATGGTCCAAAAATCACATCTCCATATGGTGGATCTTTTGGATCGTCAACGTTAAGCACTCCAACTTTGACACCCTGAGAGTATTCAGACTTGTTGACTCCAGGTGGACTGCAGTCCAACGGTCAGACCGGAACCAAGGGACCGTTCGAGAACGTCGGGAAGTTCCCCAAGCTTTGTAAAGCTTGCGTAACAATGGGGCAACGGTCCCGCCGTGGGGGGGTCTGCAGAATGGCCTCTGGCCGCTACGCCACGCCGGTTTCCTCCAAGCGTCTCCAGCCGCTGGTGGACACGCTCCGATGTTCCGAAAGAAACGAACCCTCCTCCCCTCCGAAGATGTGTCATTGCAATAAGAGTGAGCAAGGGGAGTTGGCCGGCCTCCTGCCCAAGTGCAGCAGCGAAATCACTTCTTTTAGGATTTTAGACATTCAACATCTTTGGAGAAAGCGAATTTGAGTATTTGGCGAACCACCTGACGTCACCATTTATTCTGTATATTCAGGCTCCAGGTATACGAATGCGGGGAAGAGACACGTGTGTTCTCAGCCGAATCCGAGTGAATCAAGCCACAAAACCCATTAAGCCGTTAAAACCCGTTGTTTCTCCAAGCCGTAGCACCGCCTTGAACAACAAGCATCAGCTCATGTGTCGCGACGAAGCGAACCCGCACGGGATCCCTTGCTGACTCCAGCTCCAGCGGTGGAGAAAACGGTCGCTTGGGCGACCATGTGGCCTCAGGGTGCAACTTAGTTCAAGATGACATGCAGCCTAGACACCTGAGATAAAACCACTGGCCAGTCTGTCGAAGAAAGGATCAGGTGTAAACATACAACATACACCACCCTCAAAGAAGTCTGGACCAGTATGGATTTGAATAATTGTATTATCCACATGCAAAGCAGTCTCTCAAAGGGTCCAGCTCCAAATGAGATGGTCAAAGGGAGTATGGTTCGGAATGGTCCAAGTATTTCCCGTCCAGAGAACGAGAGAGAGAGAGAAGGAGAGGAGAGAAGGAGAGAAAGAGAGACAGAGAGACACAGAGAGAGAGAGAGAGACACAGAGAGAGAGAGAGAGAGCGAGAGAAAAACAAAACATCATCAAATTCAAAATGCGCTACTGAGGAACGCATTAAGAACTTCTCAAGTTCTGAAGTTCTGTCGGTAACTTGAGCGATCGTGCAGTCATGAAGGAACCCCTTTTTCGACCGCTCCAGAACACCTCGCTGCGACGACCGTTTCGCCGCGCGGGTGTGTGTTTAAAGGTGGACCTTTGCGTCTTGTGTAGAACAGCGAACGCCGTATTCAGACACCAGCTGTATTCAGACCCTTCAAAGGCACCTGGGGATGCAGGAACCGTCCCCCGAACCTTTGAAAGGTCAGGCATACGGAAACGGCATACATGCCGTCGAAGACGCTGTGTCTTCTGCGCCACTCTGAAGTGCCCAAAGGCAGCTCGCCCGATGTGCATCAGTGAGTCTGGGATAGTCAAGTTCGCCGGACAGAGGCAACCATCAAAGGCATGATTCCCAATGTGGGTCACTGAGTTTGGATTGGTCAAGCTCACCAAAGAGCTGCAAGACTGAAAGGCACAAGGCTCAATGTGGATCATTGACTTGGCGATGGTCAAGTTGCTCAAACAGCTGGCGTTCCTAAAGGCACCGATCCCAATGTGGGTCACAGAGTTTGGGATGGTCAAGCTCACCAAAGAGCTGCAACCACAAAAGGCACCATCTCCAATGTTGGTCACTGATACTGAGTTTGGGATCGTCAAGTTCACCGAATAGTGCACCAAAGAGTTGCAACCAAGAAAGGCAAAATGCCCAATGTGGGTCACCGAGTCTGGGATGGTCACGTTCGCCAAGGAGCTGCAAGACTGGAAGGCACAAACCCCAATGTGGGTCACTGAGTCTGGGATGGTCAAGTCCACCAAAGCATGATGGCAATCCACCACCCCCAATGTGGGTCACGGAGTGTGGGATCGTCACTTTGGCCAACGTGCGGCACCCCTCAACTGCGCTTTCACAAATCTGTGTTTCATCATTTAGAGTTTCGACCAGAAGTAACAATTCTGAGTCAACGATGCCACCAAGACTGGCGATCGCGTCTTTGTTGGAGCATATCACTTTGTTTGGTTTGAACACAACACTCACAACAGTATCTTCGGCAATTCCAACTTCCAATATGACAAGTGTGGAGATTGTTTTGGAAGACAACCAATTGCTGGACAATGATGCAAATGTAATGTATTTGCATCATTGGCCAGCAACTGATTGTCTTCCAAAACAATCTCCACACTTGTAGCTCTGCGAGTGAGCTCGCCCCAGCTCGGCTGTCCTTCCTTGATCTGCTTGAGCGCCCAGCCTTTCATCTCTGGCCTGACTTCCACATAACTTCACCACTCGGCTCCAAGACCTTGAAGTCTTTGGATTCTTGCTGATTCTTATTGATTCTTGCTTTCGGCACCAGACTGATGCAAGTTGGCTTGGCCTAGCGATTGGGACATATGTTGATGTCTGCACGTGACGACAACCTCTTCGAACATCGGATCTGCTCAGAAGAAATGTCTATTGATCAGAAATTCAGCCAAACAGCTGCATCTACGTGCACGAAACTGACTCTGGTTTCCCCAACAAAAATCCATCAAGGGCCGGGTTGTCCAAGAATCCGAGGATTCTTAGGATGGGCCAGGCTCCAACTAAATGCTAGGGCCTGGGGGTCCAAGTAGACCAGAAAGTGACTGAAGTGGATCGGGTGACTGGGTCTTCCCTCACAAATCCAGACAACTCTCTAGTTCGGAACGGTCGGACCGCCGAACGGACCTTCCACCGCACCGGGGTCCGCACCGGGGTCCATCGTTGGTTCCGGGCCCCGAAGTCCCAGGTTTTGGATGGTCTGCTCATGTCTCATGTCTCATGCCCGTGGCAATGACCTGCCCAGGCGATCCAATTGGACTCACTGCTTTGGGTGCTTTTGGGTGAGTCTCCTGATGGTGGTCCCGAGAAATAAGTGGTTTCTGGCAGAACACCAAGCACACCATCACTCACATCCAAACACCAGTTGCGACCAGGATCCATCCAGCAGATTCCGGCCGGACCCACTTCGCCAAACGGCTACTGACCGGGACTGGAGCAGCCCCGCCCGTGGGCATGCCTGGCATGCCGGGCATGCCGCCGCCGCCTACGGAGCTGAGCAAAAGGGACCATTTTCTTCGAAAAGGCACCAGTGAGTTAAGCTATGCAGCCAACCTGATCACCTGGGTGCCGTGCCTGTGGCGACATGGAACAAAGTGGAAGCGTATATATGTAACTCTCGCCCACAAAGCGGGACACCCAGCACGGGTCGACGTGATCGGTGGCGCTGTGCAGTGTGCTGAAAGATCAGGGTGCAAAGTCTTGAATGGCTATAAACAGTCTAAGCATGTTCAAACTCTGGTCGACACTGAGTGAGACCCAAGCTATAGATGAACCAAACAGCCTGTATGGCCTACAGATACCTGGAAAAGGAGAACTCGTCGAGATGCTGCCCTGCGTGCCTACCGTGGCTCTTACCGCTTTACCCCACCACCTCCCACAACCCAGTCGTACGCCTCCCACTGGTGGCAGTGCGGCCTGGCCCAGGCCGCTGGGTTGTGTGGGCTGCTTGATGTGAGGACTTGACAATTCAGACGTCGAAGGTTGATCTGGGAAGAACACTGGGCGGAGGGTATCACTCAATTTTTCAAAGTCTTCGATTTCGATGGTCGGTTGTTCGTCTAGCTACAGTGAATTCGAAGCTAGGGTACAAACTCCATAGTCACCCGTTCTTGCCACAAAACCCCGCCACCCTACTTAGAGCTGTTTCACAGCTCAAGTCTTCCCCCCCACCTCCGAATGGCTGAGACATGCTGAGACTGTTCTTGGTCAGTCCCTATATCGACCACCGTCCGGGAAGATCTCCTTCGCCCAGACGTCTGAGGAACGTGATCAGTACTCGGGAGAGCACCTTCTGGGCTGGAGGACTCCACCGGCCACGCCGGCACACGTGTAGCAACACGGCACTCGTTTCTCCCTATCATGGTTTAGATGTTATTTTTATATAATACCATTTTATATAAACATAAGAAAGCCGCTCGGTATCATCCGTATAATACCATGTGGGGGGAAACGAGCTTCCTCGACATCCGAGTCGATCACCCGTGGTCGGTGGATTCGAATCGCCCGTATCGACCCACAGCCCGAGCGGACGACCCGAGGAACCCCGAGCACCTCGCAGTTGGGCGGAGGCCACATCTCCACGTTGCCCGTGGTGAAGTGCATGGCCCCTGGCACGTGACGTAGATGGAACAAATGGGTGCGGAGTGAGATATTATACTGTCGTTTTCTGGGGTCAAAGATAACCACGGAAGACTCACCTAGAACCAGGGAAAGCATGTCTGTCAAAGGGTGTCGGTGTCGGTTGTTGTGGCCTATTTCTGCGGCTCTGAGATCTTCTGAATTAGAGCTGCTGTACCCCTTAATCCTCCGTGAATCCGACACACACACAATTCGGTGGAGCTTGTGTCGGTCGGGAAAATGGTCGTGTCGGGACTCGCGCCTCTTGGTGATGGTGCCAGGGGAGTGGGATCCGCCAAGAAACCTCGCAGGTTCTGCGGGTCCGCGGGAGGTTTCGGAAGTAACTGAAGGTTTTCTGCTACCCTCCCAGCTTGGAAAACATATCGCCCACACACACACACAGTATCTCGGACAGGGGTATATAACAAGGTGACTGTGTTGTGTTCCGCCATCCTTGAAGGAATTGCAACACACCCATGTCTGAAACATCACAGGGCCCGGGTGCTCTGTGAAACTTAAAGACGGGTAGGGAAGGGTACATCAAATCTGGTGTGATAAAATGACAAAAAAACAAATCTGTCAATTGGGACTACAAGGGATCGGAGTAGCAATCAATGTAGATGAAACATAACAAATAATCGAAGGTATAGCGGTGTACCAATTGGTTAGAATGGAAAGTCAGTTTGCATCAATATCACCACCTCATACCTTTCAATTGAATTCAGAGTCCTTGTGTGTCCGATCCAGGCTGAGACAAGGGGACACCCCTGCCACCAGGACACGCTCCAACGAGAGCCTCAGCTGGAAGGAGAACAAGAAAGCATGCAAAATGATGGTCACGAGCAGTAGCAAGGGAACTCCCTTTAGCTCCGAACTGTTCCCTGTTAGTAGGACATATGGATACCACCCGGCTCCTTAGCTCCCTCCTGAGCAAAAGCTAGGGTCTTTGACGCGCACACACACTTAGACAATGGGTTTGCAGTTGCGTCAATTCCGCGCGGAAATGAACGAGGGAACAGAAAGGCGGGTGAGTCCAAAAAATTGAAGATGTTGAACACAGGTGTTGCAATCGCTCAGAAATCGCTGAAAGCGGCAGCGGCGAGCTCAGCAGCTAGAAAAAGGGGTTTGTGGGGAGTAGCATGCAACCCACCATGGAAGCAAAAAAGGAAATTAGAGTCACAGCGTGAAAAAAACAGCAGGTACATGGTTGAGCGTCCTCAACCACTTCCCTTCCAGTGACCCAGCTTCGTTGGATCAGGTTAGTCGCTGGAAGCCTGATCCCCCTGCATCGAACAGGTGTAACCATCAGAAAAGAACTCCTTGGGACGGAGGGTGACACACACACACATAAAACTACTTGGTAAGCCTAGTCCTTCTTCGTTGCCAGATGTACAGTTGCATCTACCCTCCAAAAGACCCACATCGACATCTAACCCAAACATCATTGTGGTGGTCTTGACTCGAAGGTCGATATTTCTCTGAATCTACACCTTGTAACCAAACTCTGACTCACTGGTCATCAAACTATGACATGTCTTTTGGCTTTGGGCGTGAGGCACAGTGCCTCTTTTGCTGGAGACTCCTTGTTGATGAGTGCAGTATATAACTGGGATCCACTGGAAAGTGCTCACTTTTCCACGGTGGCATCTTCTACATTCACAGGTTTGCCCTAGGACGGAGTCAATATTGATCGGAGCCAAAAATGTGGCTGGGGGGAGCCGACCGATTCCATCCTCTATCTCCCCTCTGCACTTAGATTCTAAGTCTTAGGGCAATATGAAGAGTAGTGAGTAGAGATCTTGCAGCAGCTGCAAACCTCCACGTGGGGGGGTGGATGCCTTAAATTCCTTACATCGACTTGTACACCGCCTCTCCCAGTCGATTCCAGGACCCAGTGACCCCCCAGAAGGCGGCGCATTCTGCGGCGCATTCTTCGCTCCAGAGGGTCGTCTGGCCGAGGAAGAACGGATTCCAAGAGAGGTTGAACAGCCTTGTAGCCCATCCCATATGTACCACAGACCAGGGTCTTATAAGGTCTCTCAACCTCTCTTGGTTCTTAGTTGTTCAGATCGAGGGCAGCTCGTGGATTCCCACCGAATCCCATTGCTTCTGTGAAATAAAACATTGGCTAATATAGCTTCATCATGGGGCCCAATGGTAGAGAAAGATCTGGAAAAGCAGTCAAGCCTATCTCTCATTTGAACCCGTGTGACTGGTTGCTTTACAAAAAGCAAAGCAATGGCCATCCGTAACTCGGGCGGCTTTCCCAACACCCCAGCAGAAAACAAAGGCGAGGACTCATGTCGTTCGGAAGGAGTTCGGTCTGCCGCGTGAGCCCGAGAGTTCTGGAGAGGAACACCCGACGTGTTGATCACGTGTTGATGGTTACCATCAAGAAGCCCGACGTTGTCACCAGGCTGACAGCCACTTGATGATCTGAAGTGATGCAAGTACTAAAAATGTAAACAAAGTAAAAGTTTAAGGTTCAGCCTGCTTCTCAATTCCAAGGAGCAAACCTGTTCATTGCAGCTTGCAGCAGATGCCAGTCCAAACCCAGCCAGTGTTTTTTTCACGGAAGCTATGGGCCCAACTTCCGTCACCGATTCTGTCACAACTTCCGGCACCGCCCCCCAAAAGCACGAGGGAGAATAAAAATACAGTGGATTGAGAGTAGATGGCACTGGCACCCCAAGATGTCTTTTACATAGGGGTCCATATAAACCACCTTTTGGGGATTGTGCCATCTACTCTCAACCCACTATATATATATATATATGAAAATGGATACACATAACTCGATCGACCCAGACGCGACCCGGTCGACCCCGAATCCTTTGGATGGGGTCGGAGCCGAATCCAGACTGGAGGGGTCTGGGGTTTCTCACCAATCCCTAGGTTTTGAAGGACCGGTCGGGCTGTGAACGGAGCATCTGGGCAGTGTCAATCACTGTGTCTCCATCGTTGCCGATGATGCTTAGGCTTCGGGGACTTCTCTCTCGACTGAAGAAAACCCCCTCAGCGATGTCACCAAGCAGTCACCGGGTCAGCTGACCTGGCGCTGACCTCAACCACGCGCGCAACCGAGCGACGTGACACGCCTCCAGAACATGGCCGGAGTCACCGGGGCTCACGTTTCGCAAAGCTCGCTGAGGCGCACCCAGGCGCACACAGGGAGAGAGGTGTGGATTTATGCTTGGGCAGAGGTCTAAAACATCCAGCAACACCATGGACACGAATGAAGCATTCAATTACATGGCAGTGAACCTCTGAATGACTATACTACTGTCTAATGACTTAGGCCAACGTGATGCAAGTGACATACCAATCTGGCTACCCCCAGGGCTAAGTCATGTGCCCTGACATATCGAGCAAAAAAAATGTCTGGGTTGGGAAACCTGGTGTCATAGGACCTGTGGACACCTCCTCGACAAAACAAGCAAAAAAACAGCTAAATAATGCTAGATACCACTGCCTGGCACCCTGGTGACACAGTGGTGACATAGGGTGCGACTATGTGTTTTTGCGGGCGCTGCTTCCTTGAATACCTCATACATATTTCTATGAATATCATGGTTGTGGCCTGATGACATAGGCCTTAAGAGGAAATGCCAATGTTGGATCAATCCTGATGACATAGGCTTTTGGAATTGGCGTGTATGTCCGACAAGTCCTAAGTTACTAGTCAGTAGTATAGTCATCTTGACCTACAGGGGGCTTTGATCTAAGAGCTAGCTTTCTGAATCTAGCTCAAAGCAATGGGTGAAGTGAATATACTGGTTGAATACCTGACCGGGCCTGCGAAAGGTGTTTTCCATTTCAGCCTGTTGCGACATGCGTTTTTGCAGATTCCTTTGCTCTTCCCTTAGCTCCTTTGGAGCAAGGGACCTTGCTGCGGCGGACTTGAGCCGGGGCAACAGGAAGTTGCAAGAAATATATTTCTCACAATTACAGCAAGCAGTTTAGGTTCGGAAGTCGTTTTCAATGATATAGAGGGTCAAAACCAACAAACCAGAATCTTCTGCTGTTCGCATCAGAACTTCAGAGGATTCTGTCCCATTCTGTTTGCAGAATCTTCAATGAGTGAAAAAGACTCATGGCCCACGCCCCGCGTCGCGTCGTTGCCCGTTCTTTCCAACCGGTTCTTCCAAGATCGACACCCGTTCCGGAACATCCCACCCGACGTCGCGGTGGCCGTCGGACGCCTGGAACAAGACCAAGACCGCGCAGCTGGGAGAGTTTGGCGAAGGCAAACAGCAGCGGAGCATGGGAAAGGTACATCCAGTGTGCATCCAAAATTGTAGACCAACAAACTATCCAAACAATCACTTCTTCAAGGTTTGTCAATTGCTTCTGATTGGCTGCAAGCCCAAACGATGACCCAAATCCGCTCCACTCTACCGCGAAGACGCTCAAACGCGGAACAAAGCCCCGCCCCTTCCCCGTCCGATCCTTCTGGGACGCCGCCCACGTCGCCGCGGTGGCCGCCGGACCCACGCCGCGGTCTGGGGAGGTGGTCACCATGGTGGCACACAGCTCGTCCAATGGCGTGGCGATGTCCTCTGGCTCCGTGCCCTGGCTCTCCGAGAAACATCTGAATCTGGGGGTGTTCTATCTGAAAAAACGCAGCAAGGAGGTCCTTTGGGTGGGAAATTCCAGCTATCAACCAAGGGCGGGCCGGTCAGGCCATGCCACTGACCGCTCGAAGAAGTCGCGCGGTCAGAGAAGTCGCGCGGTCAGGATGCTCAAGCGGGTCACAGGTACGCCTCTCTTGAACACTTCTGTTGGATGAAAACATCTTCTCATGAAAACAATTGAAAAGCCATATACCCATGCTTTTGGAGTGGGACAACACTCATGCCATACAGTCATTTCACAGTCATACATCATTGTTGTGGCTCCGTCACCTCTTCTCCGGTCATGTTTTCTCCGAGACCATTCGACGGTCCACCGAACTCAGAATGCCCTGTTCTCACTTGGCGCCAATCCCATTTCCAACAGAGGTTTTCAGAACCCGAACTAGACTATCCTAGTTCGGTACCCCTGGTGACGGCTCCTAGTTCAGGTCACTGGATACCTCTGTTGCTGGTGGACCCACGCTACCCACCCTCGCTACCGGTGGGACGTTGCGGGGGCTGAGCTCCTATAACCAAAGCCCAAGTCACTAGAACCTGTCTATTCCTTAGTCACTAGATGTCACTAGTCTATGTTGTTTTAACATACCAAGCATTTGATTGGCCAATAACTCTTTGCCATTCACAGTAGAAAGTGGAAATGAGAAATAGAACACCTTGCCTCCTTCCAGTCCCAGGTCACTATCTGTACCAGTCAGATCTTCAAGTGCAATCTTGGACTTTCCAGATCTTGGAAGGATGTGAATTCTTCCGTTTTTGACCGGGGTGAGTTAAGCTGAGTCCATATCATCTATACTGATCTAGTGGAGGAGAGGGATTCTTCCGTTTTTGGACCGGGGTGGGTTAACCCTTAACCCACCCCGGTCAAAAAACGGAAGAATTCCTCTGTTAAGCTGAGTATAATGTTGCATTTCCATGAAAATACGTCCCATAGTGGAGCAATCGAGCTGATTTTGGGGGGGGCTCAGTTGATTTTCCCTCTCGGACATCTGCTGGATGTTGCTTTCCACATCTTTCAACCTGAGCAACCCAGTCGGAGTCTCAGTCCAAGTGGGCAGCTTTCGAAGGAACCCGCCTGGAACACTTCTCGAAACTTGTTCAAGGGGATGGAACGTGTCTCCTCTTCAGGGATTTGCCCGGAGCGGCTTGCGGCGAGCGGACGATCGGAGGTTTTCTTCGTCCGTGGCTTTTGCGTTTTGCTCGTTTGATCCTTGCAAAGATTGGGTCTGAAAGTGAATGGAACACGAACAAATGGCCCTCATCTGGAATTCTCCTCCAAGGATATTGTTGTACATTGTTGTACCATGTTGTCGCGAAGTCACGGAGGGGGGCCAAGTTCAAGCATCGACCCACCTGTTTCCTTTCTTGTCCGAAAGCTCCTGAATTTCACCACCTGGGCTCATGGTCCTTTGATCAGGGTATCAGATTCCGTGGTTTTGAGTAGGGAGATTCGTCTTCAGCAATGGGTAGAGTGATTTAGGGAGACTGTCTCACGGACCTGCACAACTCATCAAACTCCTCCCCTACTCATAAGTCAATTAGTCACCACCTCCTGCACCTTCCCCAAAGTCCACCGATCTCCTTGCTGATGACGATGTTGTAATGTCGCAGCTTCCGATCCTGGGAGACCGAGTCGACGAGTCTGGCTCCGGTGTCAGTCGGCTGTTCAGTGGGCGGGATGCCCGCTGGCGATGTTTGGAGGGATGCCGGCTGGCGACTGGTCACTTCCTCTGAAGAGCCGCACTACATACTTCATAGCACCACGTCTTGCTGAGCTAGGCTGGTGACTTTCGGACATGTCGCGGTTGTTTGGTGATGAGTTGGTTCCACAAGGGAGAAGTTTGGGAGAGATAGAAATATTAATATGTTATATATATATATATATTTATATATACGACTCTATGACGAAATGATGGCCTGCTGGTGTAGATCCGGCTTGTGATATACGAGTATCACTGTATCATCAACATCACTTTTGCTGGACCACTACATCTACAAACAGGTGGTTGGGATGGATACCATCCTACAATTGAATGACGATACTATCAGCTTCTCGGTGGTGCATGATCGGGTCCATCAACCCTATTTGCCCTATTACCACAGTCACATAAGACAGACCATGCACCAAGTCCAAAGCATGAGACGCATAAACCGTGACAGTTGCTCAGTCTGCTGAAGACTCCCCGATGGATTCTCCCAGGATCCTCAGCGACGAGCGGCAAAGGAGCAAGTACATGCTCTCAACTGACCATCCACCTGCGCGAGGGGCAGGTAGCCAGTGTGTGAGCCTCTACTAATCAGTCTGGTACCGCTCACCCTGCCAAAGCTGATGTGGGTCATATTCCACATCAATTTCAGCTCAGGCTCAGGGTTGACACATATATAAATGTTTGTCGAAGCAAGCAAGCACTGGGAACGCCTCAGACTTTAAGGAACGCAGCATCACCAGCTCCTTCAGGTCAGAGTCACCAGTTGAATCAAGTTTGGGTTCGATGTTATTCCCAAAAAAAAAATCGGGTCGGCCGCATTCCTCCAAGTGCTGCAAGAGACCTGCATCGCAGTCCAGGTGCTGGAAAAGGTCGAAAGGCACGATTCGGCACGATGGACGCCAACACCCGCACGGCGTAGCCATTGCGCGTACTTAGGTGGATTGCTTCCCATGCAGTGCCCGAACCAGGAGGATCATGCCAACAGCCAAGAATCCAGTGGATTTGTTTGGGACGGCCGACCACACATCAAACCCATCTACATTCTGGGCTGATCATCGAAACAGGCCACCCCCCCCATTTCTTTTCTCTCGCTCTGCTCTGGCTGTCGTACTTGAGCAAGGAACTCCTGGCAAAGGTGGCTGACGCAGCTTTAGAATCGTCGATGTAGCGACGCGATGCAAGAGCCAACTAGCATTTCGGTGCCCCCCCGAAAGAGGATCTTTGATTTTAGATGCGGGCACCGGTTCCCACCAGTGAGCGCGCTGATCCCGCCAGAGTAGCTGATGATCAGGCAAAAGAGTCCGTCAAAGAGCGAGCTACGAGACCTAGTCAGAGAAATCAAAGGACATATTTGCTGGATGCGCTCTGACAATGAGTTCCTCCACCCCGCGGACACCGCCGGACACGTGACTTTCCTTCAGAAACGGCGCAGCGACACTTGCGGCACAGCGTCGTTGCACAATGCGCGAGCAAATGTAACATCATGTTGCATTCCATGTGCTGTTGGGGTTCAGGATCACACTTTTAAGCTTATCTGATATACTGGTTTGCCAATCTTAACTTCTGGCATGAGGCACCGAACTACGCAGCATCTTGGGACGTCACCAGCCACCTGGCCTCGCCTTCTTTGACGCTCCAGTCAATCGATGGGATAGTTTGCAGACCCAGATCGGTCGGAGAAGTCTCTGGGAACATGTTGGAGGGGTCCATCGACACCATTGACCATTGGTGACACCATGTCCCACTCATTGCCACCCCCTACGCACTTCCAGTCTGGTTCGTGCTTATCTCATCTTCTCATCTGCGCCCTGTCTCCGTTCCGGTGGATGGAGGAATCTCCATCTGTCCTG